AATCAAGTACTTCTTAGACATAAGATCTAGAAAATCATAGTCTTTTTGTTTTTCCCTTTCTAAACTTATGAGCAGATTACAGCTCCAGGGCTGGTCATACACATATTTTTTTAAAATTTCAGATTATATACTATCGATAAATTATCCCATCCACAAAATCTGTAATTCTAATTGTTTAAAATTCATTTATAGCAATATATGTCAAAATAAATCTCTACAGTCTTAACAAAAATAAAAATTTTGGTCTTCTATGACAGTAGCAGGTACTGAGGCAATTTGCATTTATGATATTCAATAATACCTGATTTTTCTCTAGAGGGGGAAGACAAACCACAGGTTAACACTTTGCCCTAATTAACAGGAAAGACTTCTTTTGCCCAGTTCTTGGATCCTCAGTGTGAATTCTCCCCATTTTCCTTCCAGATAGAATGTCACATATACTTCTATTTGGCACTTCTCAAAGAACACACAATTAGTTCTTCACAAGACGGTGAGCTTCTCTCAAGAGTGGGCACCAGATCTCAAGTCCCTTGTATCTTCTCTAGGTTATGGGACTTACTTTAGGTAGATGATCACATGCTCCTGAAAATGGGCCCCACCCATAGCTATAAAAAATGAATCAAGAATCTTAGCTAGTTAGTTTTAGGGTAGGTCTTTGACCTTTTTTTTTTCTAATAAGACTAAGTTGAGGATAGAGTGGGAGGGAGTAATGGGAGAGCCTGAGAAATATTTTTTATTTTTCTCTCTGATAAAAGGTTGAGAGCTGCCCTTACCACCTTGTTTGGGATGTATGAAGGTAAAATATTTGGAGCTGTGGCAGCCCATCTTGTGACCATGAGGCAACAGACACAGAAGAGCAACGCTGAAGCTGATGGAACACAGAAAAACAAGTCACTGAATGAACTCTCAGCACCTCCTATCACCAAAATTCTTATTAAGCTAAATGTCTTTATGGCTTAATCCACTGTTAGGTTTTCTCTCACTTGTAGCCAAAAGCACCTCAAGTACTATGTAACACTTTTTCCTCCAGAATGCCTCACTGGTTTATTATAGCCACTGGTTCCTCTTTTGTTTGCCTATTCTTGATCATACAAAAATTATACCACCCCCCTTTATTACTGAGAATCCTAAATACTTAACTATACAGAGAGTACATTACTTTTATTTTACCTTGAGTGATTGCTGACTGTTTTCCTTAGGACTTTTCATTTTCTTCAAGTACTTTTGAATTTTGGTTTGCAGGCTCCTCTTATGAGTCTTCCTGCTCTTCTCCTCTTCCCTTCCCAATCTCTACTCTCTTCTTGCCTTTTATGACAGGTGCTTCTACCACCTGTCCACACTCAGGGCTCTGGTCTTGTGGTGAGAGTGGCGCTACTGAAGACCTACACAGATCTGTTTCACAAAGAAGCAGGCTCTGGCTCAGGCAAGACCTGGCTACAATATAAGTTACAGTCGTAGGCACTAGTTGTTGCTGCATCTTAGTTTCAAAAGTGAGGAAACTTCAAGTCAGACCGTGGCTTCTTACTCTTTTAAGATTTGAAATTTCTGGGTGGTCTTTCTTGCTACCAGACCTAGAGCTTAAGTTCTGGCTTACAAGTTCAGTGCACTTATCACTTTGCATTTCTGGTTCACCAAAATGCCTATAATGCTTTTGGACACAGATGTGCTTTAAAATTTTCTCAATTTTCTATTATTTTTCAATTCAAAGATCCCAAAATACCTGTATCTAGGTATACCACAGACTAACATTTTAAAGCAAACATTTTATGTCAATGAACAAAAGGAAAGATTTGTTGCTGTTGTTGTTACAACATAAAACTCTGTCATGTATCATTCATCAGTAAAAAATCGTAAGTGAACAGCAGAGTTTGGATGAACGAAATAAGATCCATATAGCCTTCTGGATTAATGAGAGAGACTAGATTAGCAGCACTGCTCCTCCTTATGCTGATCCACACCCCCCCCCCCCACCCCCCGCCACTTCCTCAACTTTCAGGAGATCAAAGGAAGAAGTGCTTCAGGCCTGTTTACAAAATAACATGCGCGCTACATAAAATAGATTCCATAAACCACTTTAAAATCCAGTCAGTTTAATATAAAATGTTTTTAATTGTTTTTGAAAACATTTAAAAAACAATTTTTGAGCACTTTCAATAAAAAAAGAGAACTGAAATGCTACTGCAATATTCAACTACTGTAGTTTCAGCAGGTACAACAGACAACAAAACACTGGGGAAATCTTGACTTTTTGCACTAAATGAAAACATGAAACAGGGCTTGTTTTTGTCATTTATGGTGTAGTAAAGCACATTATAGTACAAGACTCTTATATGAACCTCTGATGCACTGCACAAAAAAAACACTTTCCTTCTTTTCAGTTCAAAAGTCAGTGCTTATTGCAATTATATGCAAAATTATTTACTTCATGAAGTCTTATCATGATAAACAGTATGCAAAATATTTAAAACATCAAAACAATGAAAATAATCTGAGAAAAGAATATATTCAACAATAACTAAGCAGAATTAGTAAACATAAAAAAGTAAATAACTTGTGAATAACTATGTCTGTCTGGTTAACACTGAACCAGTTTCAATACAGCCAAGAAAAAAAAAAGTGGTTACAGGAATACCTAGTACTGTACAAGATAAGTCAATAACACTCATGCACATTTTGTGATCATGTATTAACATGGTGAAGCAAACTAAACTTAATTCTTCCTGCTGTAATATTCTCATGTAAGAGAATAAGAAATAGAAATATCTCATTGAGATTAATGCACATTGCTACATAAGACAATTTTATCTGTCACTTTGATGACATTTTGTCTTTTCATAATGAAACACATTTAAAAAGTTTAATCTGTGGACTGTATTGGTTGCATTTATCCTAAGAGATGTGCCTACCACAGGTTCAACAAATTTAGTGCAATATATGAACCCCAGAAAGTTTGCTGGACGAATTCAACCAAATTTAAAGTGTTTGCTGCAATACTGTACAGGGGGTTAAAAATCCTCCAGTCTTTATATTTTTATCAAAAAAGATTCCCATTATTTCTTATATTAGTAGGAAGCTAATAATGTAAACAAGGGATTAGAATGGCCTCAAAATCTCCTTTTCAGAGTATCTCATATAGAAAGGCTCCCATCATTTGTTAAAAGAAATCACACAGTTTCCTTTGGGTATTGCATACTTTGGTGTGCAGTAGTGCTGTGTCTCAATGTACAGTGAAGAAATAACTAGCATCAAGAAAAAATATCCAACAGATCATTAAATCAAGATAACAGCAAACACACAAATGTCAGTAACTAGGACATATCAATATATAAACCTCTGAGCCAACCCTAGCACCATTTATTTATCAAAATGTTAATATCCTACCTTGCAAATTTATTGAACAATGAAACCTTATTAAACTCTTCATCACATTTGTTAAATATTCATTGACTGCAGTCTTTTGATTGGCTTACTAATTAATTAAGGTAAAGGAAAGCTTAGTTAGGTTCAAGGTAGCAGAGCAATGGTTTAAGGACAACTTTAAAAATTTAATGGCAAATTTTTAAGTCTATTTGAAATTAACCTTGAAACTCACTTAAATGGAGCTGTCAACTAGTGAGAAGACTTGTGTCAGCATGAAATTCATAAATAATTATTCACAAAACAAAATGGGAGCTATAAGAGAGAAACATTCTAAAACAAATCCTGAGTGCTTCTTTTTGCAATTGTGGTTATCACAATAAATAAATTAAGCATGTTATAAAATCCTCCTCTTCTTCAAGTACTATTAGATATCCCCTTTGTTTTATCAGAGATAAAGATTTGTGACTTCGGACCTTGGGTGGTGAAATGTCTTTTCAGTTTTTTGTGTCATCTCTCTCCTGCTTGCTTGCGTTTCAAAGGGATCCCATGATCAAACTGCATTTCTATATTCAGGAGGAGTGAAGGAGCCAGTCACTAAATTGAGGACTTAAGAATACTATAAATAAAAACCTTCAAAATAAATCTTAAATAGAATTTAATATGTGCATACAGACACACTGTGATGAAACTAAGAAAATGCTTTTTAGTTTCCTTCTAAATTTTCCTATCTCAACTAACCAGATAATAAAAGATATTCTTCTAACATGCTTGCATTTATTCTATTAAATTACAACATTTCGCATTACTTACTTGCTTTGTTTACCTGTGTGTGTGTGTGTGTGTGTGTGTGTGTGTGTATGTGTGCACGCGCCTGCATGCGTGCGTGTCTCTGTGGTAGCTCCATATTAAAACTAACATTTTAAAAGAAGACTAACGCAAGGTCACAAATAAAAATGGCTACTAGTTTTTCCTTTTAATAATTTTAGTGCAGCTTTTGCTTTCCTTATATTAATATTTAATTTTCCATTATTTCCTCCTATTTAAGCCCTTTGTTGTGGTGCAAATGGTACTGAAGTCCCAGAAAGTCCTACAGAGATTTTATTTTTTTCATTCTACAGTAGCTCTATGCTTCAAGCCTAAATACTTATAATAACCTGAATATTATCCCTGTTTCAAGGAAGACCTTCTTGTCTACAGTTCATCTTAGCTATGATTTCATACTTAAAAATATAATGCCAACAACAACAAAATATCCTATACCTAAAATCAATGGTTTCCTCTAAAATCTGTGCAGATCAACCGATGAAATAAAATGAACTTATACAAAATAAAGATCTAGACTGCTCTTGTAAAAGCTGGTTATTTTTTTGTTGACTAGCAAACAATGTGATTAAATGGGGAACATTACAAAATTTAAAACCTAATATTTGTTTTTCTACAGCCTACTCTTTTCAGAAACTTGGTAAGAACTGAGGCGAGTCTAACCATTTCCTACTGAAGAAGAAACCACTTCGGCAGCAAACTCTTTTTAAAATGTCACAATTAATAGTAAGTGTTTCTGCTGCGGGAGGCACTTCCATTAAGACAAATACAATACATATGTCTTTAGTTACAGTGTGCTACATATTATAAAACACAATTTAACCCAACATTTCAACAGTAGGATGGTCCTTGCTTTCTATCCATTCAAAACCTGATGAAGTCATAGAGCTCATGGAGTCACTGCAAATTTGTTGAAACAAGGGGTCATTCTTTAATTCTTCCAGTGTAGGTTCATCATCTTGTCCCTGCTGACGACCTGGATCAAACAGTAGATTTGGGTCTAGAGTGTTCAAATCGTTGATGCTGCCTGAGAGCTCAGAAGACAACCTGATGTCGCTAGAGAAGTCAGACGCAGGATTAGTGAGGTCAGATGCTACCTGACCTACTAGCTGCTGGCTGGTCTGCAAGCTGTCTCCACTCAACAGGTCTTTAACAGTGCTGCTGAAATCTAACTGTTGCTCTCCAATTTCTGATTGTGCTTGATTATCCCCAGGAGAAAAACTGATCTGATCGGTGCTATTACTTTTCGTGAGGTAAGATGGTGCTTGGAATTCATAAATAGAAGTGCTGGAATCGATCATATTCTGCGGATTGGCACTCGGAAAGACAGTGGACGTTTCCAAAATCTGAGTGAGATTCATCCGGGCGGTGTAATTGGAGGGCAGATTGTTCATGCCCAAACCTCTCACAGCATCATCATTGTCAGAATCAAGTTTACTCAACAAAACATTGGTTATTTTCTTACTGTTCGTTTGCTTTTGAAGAGCGTTTGGGAAGGCTGTTTGCATCATGACTGTCAATGGAACTGACTGACTTCTTTGAGCTATGTTGTTGGCACATGCATCTGTGTGGACATTTGTGAAAACATGAACTTCAGGGGTTACTGGACTTCCAAAGGGGGTCACATTGGATCGGGGGATATTAGATACTGGGTAGAGGGTGCTTCCACTAAGATTACGCTGGCGATGAACAGCAGGGCTCACACTCCGGCACCTGAAGTTGCTGCTGGCGGATGAATTAGTTCCTTTATTATCAAGAGGGGCAGGGACCGCAAAACCCTCCTGTTTGTTGGTGTGATTTACAGTGGCACCTTGATGCGGCACAGGAGAGACAGGAGTCAAACGACCAAAATGACCGTCATGATGTCTGGACTGAGACTGGTAGGACTGCCCAGGCACAGCGAAAGCGTGAGGTTTCCTGAAACGGTCCTCCACGAGCTCCTGATAGCTTGGGAGAATGCCATGGCCAGAAACAGATGAATTACCAACCCCGCTATACCCATTATTCATCCATTCAAGCTTGGTTTTGTCAGGGTGTGTGGCCATGGGTCTTTGCATCGGTTTCACAGGACTACTTGAGACAATGCTGGCATCATGATATGCCATACTGGAGCTTATTGGGGTAAATGCAAAAGGATTCCTGCATTCCACGGGGCTGGGAGGGACACTACTACTGCAGTTAGAGTGTGGCGTACCGATAGGTGTGTGTCGGCTACTTCCCAAAGCACTATCCACAGGTGTCGTTTGGGCCAGCCTGGAGCAAGGGCTCTCCCGTGACAGACTCTGCGACCCGGCAATCATTTCAGATGTGGGGGTCGGGGTGGGGGTTGGGGTGGGAGTGGGGGTCGGGGTGGGGGTGGGGGTGTGGATTGGAGTGCCATTGCTATGAATTGGGTGATAGAAGTGGGTGCTGGAGGCGTGAGACGGCACTGGAGCTCCTGGAGTCACGGACTGACTCTGCAGGGTCATTCCCAAACAGTTACTGTAAGAATGAGAGTTGTTCATTGACATCTGCTGCTCCATGAGCACCAGCTCTTCCACAATACTATCCTGTGTAAGCTCATCGTCAAAAGGAAAGTAGCTTTCATTTGTTTGGGAAACAGAAGGCTCAAACTCCTTTAGTTCGGACTGTAGAGGTAACTGATCTGAAGACTGTGCTTGTATTTGATTCAAAGAAGATTCTTGGATTTGGCCATGCAGCTGCTGGGAATATGTGTCCTGTGGCATTCCTTCTAATTCCCAAACAGACTTCTCTAAGTCATTGATATCAGAGTGCTCGGGAATTGTCATAACACTGATATCTTGCTGTTGTTCACAGCCGGCAGATATAAACTCAGAATCCTTAGTGACCTGTTGCCACTCATTTGGATTAAAGCTGCCATCTGATTTTGAATCATTGTCCAAGAGAAAGACACTGCCTTCCAGCTTTACTTTGATATCTGGAGATGATGATGGTGTGGCTTGCTGTTCTGAAGCTGAATCGCTGGTAACAAGAGCAGAGGAATCCACGGGCTGACTTGACACTAGGTGTGAGCTGACATGTGTTGAGACCTTGCTGGAAATCTGAGCACCTGCTGCTGAGCTCTCTGTTTTCCCTGAATGTGGAACCTTTTGGTCCTTCTTAACACTGCCTGGTTTCTGACCTTCTGGGATAACTGCAGACAGCTCTTCCACAATTGGTTTCTTTATAGGAGGCACCTGGGACTCTTGCAGTGAAGAAGAGAGCCGCTTTCTTGGACTTTTAGTGCACAATTTAGGGTCTTTATTTATTGAGTCACCATTAGATGGTGAGCTGGTGCTGGTGAAAGTGAAGTTCTGGGTGGCAACTGAGACAGTGACAGTGCTCTGATTATTGCCTGTTGAAGTGCCTGGTAGAATTTCATTACAGCGATTTTTGCATTTGGTCCTCTGGTCACAGACCTTAGTTGCTTTTATTTCAACGACACCTTCATTGGAAGGTTTTGGTACTGCTCCATCTGTGTTACTTTTCTGTCCCGAGAGGGCACCAGGTGTTGTTCTGGGCATGTCGGTCCCGTCAGAGTTCTCTTGGCACTGTATCGGAGGCTCATCTGATGACGTCTCAGGCTCCATTTTGACTTCCACGGCAGAGGGTCCCCCGGTGCTGCTGGTCTTGGATCCGGGAGACTGAAGTGAAACAACAGAACCATTCTTGATCTGTGGGATGGTCCGCGCTTCTTCTGTTGTTCCTGTAGCACTGTTTGCTGAGGCAGAATGTTTCAGAGGGGCACTGCTGCTGCTGGGTGTGAGGGATATCGCCGTCATTTTCACCACATTTAGAGAACTCATGTGTGAGGTGGGCACAACGGCGGTTTTGATGGGACTACTAGTGAAGAGGACAGTAGTCGGAGAGCGGATGGTGAGTGCACTGGTGCTGGCTGGCTTGGGTAAGATCTGAGGGTAGCGGTGCCGGGCAGAACGATCCCCGCCAGGGCTGGCTGGGACGTTCTGAGGAGTCTTTGGTGTCTGTTTCACAGACTGCATGTGCTGAGTGACCACCTGTACATTGAGGGGAAGAACTTTGCCATCAGAAGAGCTCATTGGACTTGGTGAAGTTACCAGTTGCCTGGTCCGTTGGACCTGTTAAAAGGTGGAAAACAAAAATACCAGATTTATCAAGTCCAGAGTATAAACAGAAATTCATATAATTCATTAGTATCAAGGTGTTTTATACATGTAACGCTAAAAAGAAAAAAAAAACAAACAGTTCCTATGTTAGACAAGAATTCTTTTAGACCAGATAAATAAATACTACATGCAACACAGTGTAATATAGTTACCAAATACAATAATATGTAAGAAGAATATTAAGATGTCAGTAAAAAACTTCACATTGCTAAAAACAATGATTTTTTTAAGGAGGTTATAGGGAGCAGAGATAAAATCTGAAGAACTATCACAACTATTTAATATAGAGGTAACTAACTGGAATTTGTGCCAAGATGACTCACTCACAGGGGAGACTGTCTTATATGTAGACTGACCTTGGACATTACTAACAAACCACTGTGGATAAGGTCTCAGATAAAACTACCGCCTTCCCCAGTTCGCTGTATAATGATCAGTGCAAGAGAATGGTTCCCAGGTACTCCATGCTTTAATGACAGGATGATGACGACGATAATGGTAAGAACAAGAAAAAAATAAGATACAATATCTTTCTAATAGTATCACAAATAACAGCCTAAAATACCATCTTGCTTTAGCACGATACACTCTCATATTAAAAGCCTGTTCGTCATAACCTCAGTTGTGTGGGACAGGCAAGGAGTATACCAAGACCTCGATTTGTTGGTAAGGAGAGAGACTCAGAGTAACTAAGAGACATGCCCGAGGTCCTGTGTTCAGCAAGCCAGAGATGGGACTATATTAATGTTTTACCGCTACACATTACAATTTTGTTCTATCTGAATGATAAAAAGAAAAAAAAAAAAACCACCCCAAAAAAGCCTGCATTTGTGACACCTTTGCTGAGCGAGAGATGAAACAACTCTGAAAATGACTCATCTCCTATGTAAAGCTCTGACTGATTATGCGCAAACTTATGTGTCTTGTAATTTCACTTCTGTTTATAGCTTATTTTGTAGACAACAACGTATATCCTGAATAAAAGACAACCGACTGAAGTGAAATCTTTGTGTGGTCACAAACTCAGTTTATACCTGAATTTCTACCTCTGCTTGCCTCCTCCTCCTGCGCTACTTTTAATTAAACAACGGACTTCCCACCATCCCAGTCAGGCCAAATGCTGTTTAATGATATTACCGGAATGGGACTAGGGACAGCTGCCACGACGATACCGATAGGTTGAGGAGAGAGGATTGCAGGGTTCCCATTAGAGAGATTAGTCACTCCATTGCTTGCCGCGCCTTCTGATTTTTTTGCTGAGGATTCTCCTGGCAAAGGGGATTGTAGTTTCTGTTCTTGCTGTTTCTTCTGGATTTTCCGTTGCAGTTGCTGTTTAGCGTCAATAGGAGATGGCAGAGTCTTCACTTGAGGCTGAAAGGAATTACTTTCAGCAGTAGGTATAAAAGCAGAAGGCTGGGTAATTCCTTTAATTCCTGAAAATAAACAGAAAGGAGAGCGTAAATACTCTTTAGAGAAGGCAGTTACAGTTCAATTTCTTTGATTATGTAGCCATCTACTGGACAAAGCAACAAACCCAGGACATTTTAACTCACAATTTCTTTACAAAGCATTAACATTACACTTACAGTTTATAAATATTTGCCAATATGGTTTTAACTGAACCTTAAAATATGGCTCAGCTTGGTAGTTAAATCAGCAATAACAGATGAAGATTTTGAAAAGAATAGTAGCTATATCACTATGTGCAGAAGTTAAGACAAGTCAGTGCCAAGCTAACATGTTTTACATTTTATCAGTAGATGTCAGAAAATCTCCTTCCCCTCTTCTCTAATTAAGAAATTCATGTATTTTTATGATTTTAATATTCAGCCCACAAGGGGCACTCAATACATATTTGCAGAAACCATCTATATCTTAGGAAAAAATGCACAGGGAAAACAAGTCTTTAATTCCACAAGAATTTCATAAAATAGGTACTACAGTTTTAACTGATACAATTATATCAGTATGACTTAGGAGAAATTAAGCAGACTTTCTTAGAAGACTGAGGTTAATAAAGCCTAAAAAAAGGGTCTCCGAGGAAACTTTTTCAAGCAGTAGTAAGATGAAACACTGAGAAAAAGGAATGATAAAATAAGCACGGGATAAATTTTAAGAAAAACTGATTATAATAAAATTAATTTTTCAAAAGCTCATTTCACATCTTGGGAGTGGCATTAAGATCAACAGAAAGGGTGCAGAGTCAGTAAGAAGAGTGGAGGGAGGCCAGGGGAGGACACCCCGTCCTGAGGGCACGCCCTGCCCTTCCCTTCCCCAGACGGTTCTGCTTTTCATCTTGTGAACAGCGACAGCCTGGTGAGTGGGAGACGGGAAGGAGAGAAAGTGGCTGTAAACTCTCACCCACACACTCATTTCTCAACAATCTCTCATTTTCTGACCTTCCCTTAATCACCTAAGTACTATTTTTCCCCCTCAAATCCAACTCAAATCGCACTGCTCCCATGCAACCCGCAGCCTCGGCTCCGGCTGCTCAGCACCTGCACCCCAAGAGCCTCTGCCAACCGCCCAAAGCTCTCTGTCTGATGCCTCCTGCCAGGGTTTCTGGACAGGAATGGGTTCCAAGCAGCTGACTTAAAAAAGGACATCTGTAATACAACCTGTTCTTAATACAGAGACTATAAAAAACCAGATTCACCTTCAAAGGATGAAGATTATTCACTACAAAAGGTATTTTTAAAAGTGGCAGTGGCTGAGAACAAAATTGCGGGAGATGTAAAATACTGAGTAATGACACAGCTGTTGAAAGAACAGCCTCCCAAGCTACTTTCAAATAGTTACAAATGTCTAAATTATATATTATCTATTTATACAAATGTCTATTTATATGATTGTCAGTGTTTTCATTTATAGAATATACCCTTCTTCACATTTACGCCTTAAAAATCCATTAATTCAACATTCTTTTTTCAGTCAGCCTATGTGAATAAGAAGGGAAACAAGAAGACAGCCGTTTCTTTACCCATGATATCTCCTAAACCCTCAACGTGTTCCTCTTCTGCGTGTCAGCAGGGGTAGGAGAGAGGGAACACTGAAAGCTGAAGGGCCCATATCTTTTTTTGAACCTGTTTTGCCAGAAGCTAGGAACAGTCTTATGGAAAGGAGTAACCTTGGTTTTGGAGACAGACAAATCAGGATTCAAATTCTGGCTCCACAACTCATCTGACTATGGACAAATAGTCAGATGGACTTAACTTCCCTTAGCGTTAGTCTTTTTCTGATCTTTAAAATGGGAATAAATATCATGTATCTTACAGGATTGCCGTGGGAATAAATGAGGTAACAGATGTGAACTAACTAGCTACATAAGGCTGCTCATGCACTCTTCAATTTGAGTCATCCAGTTTAACTGAGACAGGAAAAATTATGAGGCTCTTGTAAAAGGCTATTTTGGTCATACTGATGGTCCTCAAACGACAAAAAAAATGACAGAACAGAACAATCTCACATGTATACCACAAATGCTGAAAGCTTCTTAAACATAGAGGAAAAGGAGTCCTTACTAAAATAATGAACTTAAGATAAAAAAGTAAAGTTATTCAAGAGTATAATTATAGTCCTCACTGTGATAAATCTACTGTTTCACATTAATAAATTTTTTTAAAAGAAGTTATAATTTCCTAGAGTAATAACAAAATTTATTCACTCTTTCTTAGGCTATTAAAGTATGACCAAAATAAGACATTTAAAAAATTTCATGAAAACAGGTACTTTATACAGCTATTAACTTACAAGGGAGTCATTATTCTAATGATACTGCCAGTCTTCAAACTGTCAATTCTAGAGTTCCTATCTGAATAAAAATAGCCATTTGAATGCATATTTAAAAAGTCACTCTTGTTATTTCCTAATAATGCTTCATTCACTTGATTTACTTTTTGTTAGACTAGGTACCTTTCACATTGTCCAAAGATCATTTCATTTATAAGTATTAGTTTTGGGGATAGGAGTCTCAACAAGTAATTTAAAAACTTAACCTTACTATTTACTTGTAATATTTATTAATTTAGAAACACATATATACTTAAAAGTGCACATACATATATTCTTTAAACTTTAAAATAGCAATGGAAAAATGAATGAAATAACAACTGGCAAAGCATAATGGTTTCATATTTAAGCAGATCAACATACAAAACTGTAACTTAAAATTTATCATGAAAAAACTATTATTATTATTTTCAGTAACTCAATAAGCCCATCTGAATTTAGTATTAAATGAAGAGTGAACATATACAAATACTAAAAAGAGAAAGAAGTTTTATGGCTAAACTCTTCGTTTACCACCAACTCTAGATGTAGTAATGCCCTGTCAGTTTCAGCTTGTTAACAACTTTGTACCTGGTGGTGCTGCTGCCATTACAGTAAGCGCTGCCATTGACTTGGTGCCTATATAGTGACTTTTTACAAGGAAGCGGGCTAATTCCAAGACCGTGTCAAATGGCTGGCTTAACACCTTCTGGGCCCACTCACACACAAGACGGCAAGCAGAAGAGATAACTTCTTCATCAATGTTCTGAAGCTGCCCAGAAGGTTCAGCGCCTTCCAACTAAACAGAAGAAAAAGGAAAAAAAAAAAAGACTTATAAAAAGAAAGTTCAGAGAAATTAAATTGAAGCACACTCAAGATACATAGGAAGTGAGTGAGTGAGTCACTCAGTTGTGTCTTGACTATTTATGACCCCAAGGACTGTAGCTCACCAGATTCCTCTGTCCATGGAATTCTTCAGGCAAGAATACTGGAGTGGGTTGCCATTTCCTTCTCCAGGGGATCTTCTTGACCCAGGGAGTGAACCTGGGTCTCCTGCACTGTAGGCTGATTCTTTACTGTATAAACCACCAGTGAAGCCCCTTAATCAGAAGACATAATCTAAACCTGTCAGGTCAAAGCAGTACTAAGTGACTGGTGCTGGCAGGCAGAAAAGTAGATCCTTGTAAATACGAGTCCTATGCCTGTACCTACTGATGCATAGCCATCAGCAGCATTGTGAATATAACATCTAAACACATGTTGTTAAACATACATGGAGAATAACATGTCTGAATTTTTCTAAAAGCCTTTTGTAACATCAAGAAAACAAACTATGCCATGAACTATATTTTCTCTTCTGAAAACATTCGTTCTATACATGTTACTCTGTAGCTCAAATTTTCCATTTGACAATATACACCATGGATATATCTACAAATCAGTAACTTTAGATCCATCTTTTTTCCCCTTAATTTCAAGAAATAAATAATGTAAGTACATGTGAAATAAGTAATGTATGCTAACAGTTTCCAGCCATTGTTGAGTTTTTTGACTTGTTTATTTAGTAAAAGGCGCAGTTCCTGGTCCCTGGTTTAATCCAAATGAGACTAGGTAGTATGCATTTCAATGTTGATAATTAAGGTACAATTTTACTTGGGATTCCCTGGTGGCTCAGCTGGTGAAGAATCCACCTGCAGTGTAGGAGACCTGGGTTCAGTTTCAGGGTTGGGACGATGCCCTGGAGAAGGGAACAGTTTACCCACTCCAGTATTCTGGCCTGGAGAATTCCATGCACCGAACAGTCCAAACACATGACTGCTGTTTGTTTATATATCCAAATGAGACTATGTAGTATGCATTTCCATGTTGATAATAAGGTACAATTTTACTTATTAAAAATAAAAGGCAGAAATTCTTACCCCATCTCCAGTTTTGTGAAAATCAAGATTGGGCAGTGTTGGCATATGAACAAAAGCTTTTTTTCTTAGTCCACTGTAGCAATATGTAATAAATGGTCAAGGTGTAAAGTACTCTACATTAAACGAACTGTTTATATAGTTAGCACTTGGAAAGCAATCATACATGAAATGAGAATAAAATCGGCCTGAGGCACCATCTACTTTCTGAGTTCTTCAGGAAGAGTCTTTAATATTAGAAACTCAGGACACCTTTACTCTCTTGAAACTGCAACAGTTCTTATAGAATATTACCATCTTAAAGGAAACAAAATGGTTCTCATCTGGTATATATTTTATGAATAAATGTTCCTAATAAGCTGTGCCAGCCACCAGTAACAAACAGGTCAGAAGGAAAGGAATATCCAGATGGAAACCTGGCAGAGAGAAGGGAAACTCTAGCCAGGGCACAGGGACAAAAACAACTCTTAAGAGTGTCACAAGGGTTTAACCTTTTCACTTCTCTTTTTCCACTGAAACACACAGGATTATCACCTGTAACATGCCAATGACACACCAAGACATTTTTGTTTGCACTCAGGAAACAAGGCCTGGTCGTGCAACAAACAGTTAAAGAGCACCTGCCTGGAGTCATTTTAGAAAAGCAGCCTCTCCCCTTCCCCTTCTCATCTCCTCCACAGAAGAATTTTCATGCTTTGAAAGAGACCCACAGCTAAGCAGAGAGAAATGATGTATTTCTAATAGGATTTCTAACCCTCCATGTGACAATCTTCTTCCAAGGGTAGGAAGAACTTTAGTCTTAATTTTAATTTCCTTACTTCTGTTTGCTCCTATGGGGCCTTTTCTATGCCTGGTTTTAACTTTAAAACAGCCTTTAGATGACTGTATGAAAAACAGTTTAAAGATAACACTAATCCTCCAGGCCAAGTTCCACAAGAAATTTTTTTGAATGTTGTATATATCGCCAGGGAGAACCCTATGTTTCTAAGGTAGAGGAAGGAAAGATGATAAGCTAACATCTTTTTCCATTTTTATTGATATAATTTTCAAGTGCTGTCCTATGGTATACCTTGATAATCCTCATTACTAAGGAAAAGAAGATCAAACCATTAAGGACACATTACAGTGACAGAGAAAGGTGAGATCTATCACAATCCTAATAACCACCATTTGTTATTGCAGTGTGATAAATAGCTGGGAGAATAACATTTACAATTATTCTAAGTACTTTTGGGTTGTTTGTATTTGTTGACTTAAATTTATTTCTAAATATAGTTGCTAGTTGAACTACAACAGCAGATGTTCAGTAATAAGTGATAACTTAAAGAGATCACTGAAAATCAAACTGGTAAAGGATATTTAGATTTGCCTCTTGTGCCCAGACGACGTGCCTTCATGTTTGGAAAGACATTTTTCATAATCTTCCCGAAGTCAGCAGCACTTAATGGATGGTAACCAAGATTGTCACAATAGCTCCTGCAAGAGAAGGAGGGATCAATTTAGAGAGCAACAGAACTCAGGATAATATTAGCACAGTGTCATTTCAGTCAAATCTGACCGTTATGACAAAGTGAAGAAACACATCTTCAAGTCATTCACTACAATTTTCATTGACTCATGTTCATCCTTCTTTAAAGACTAACTCAGGCTTAGTTTGTTTCATCCTCAGGGCATACAGTGTTACTGCTTTTAACTGCAGAAACTAACACTCAGCCAGTTGGGCTCTATGTTTCCACATATGTCTCAAGCTCATATACTGGAATAATTTCCAATGTAAACATTATGGGTGTCAGACAGAGACAAGACTACCACTATATGGTTTAGATTACAAGCATGATATATTATGATTAAAGGAACCTTAGGGATCATCTATACCAACACTCTCATTTTATCAGTAAGGGAAAAAAGGAAGGCACAGTGTTCTCATCCCTACCACCCCTATTAATGCCAAGAAAAATATACTTAATAAGGCAGTAACTTCAAGTTGGGACCAGGGAAACAAGCCAAGTCTTAACTACTACTAGAATCAGGTACTCTGGCTTTCTCTACAGCTGCCAGTCCTAGGCAGAAGACCAATTCCTCCTTCACCAGATCAGCAGCAGGAAAAGGTCATTTCCTGTTGGCCTTTGGGAGAACCACTACCAAAGGCATACCAAAGAGGGAGTCAGGGGAATTGCAAAAGGACTCAGTTAAATCTCCCTGCTCACTCCCCATTTCAGAATCAACCAATATAGCTTCTTGATGAAGAAGTCATGTGGTAGAGATCCAAGGTGAGACGTTTAGGATAAACAAGAAAATCCACTAGAATGGGCAGCATACAGTGGTAACTGGGACTTGAGTTCTTGTAGTGCATGGTTGAGTATGCTGGCAACATCTTTGAAGTGACCTGAACTTGGAAGTCAAATTGGTAGAGACTCAGGAGAAGGATGGGAGCCTCAACAGAGAGAATGGGTAGGTCTGAAGACTGGCGTTTTTCTTGCTCGTACCCTCCCTGTTGCAGCACTGAGCACGCCCACTCCTGTAGTGGGTGGGGCTGAGGGGAAGGAGCGGAGGTGCCTAGCAGATGCATTCTCAACAACACTGAGGAGCAGGGAGAAGGGAAAGGAGCTGACAGGTACTGTGAATTCCCTCTACAAGGAATACTAGACACATCATATTTAAGCTGGTACTAAATGTGATACTCCAAGTGGTTCAGGGGCCAAGGTTTAAAGCACAAAGTGAAGCAATGACTTTTTTGGGGAGCTGACAATTCAAATATACGAACTGCATCAAATCATAACCATTTCCCTAGCAAATTAAATCAGTCATCTTTATGATTTAAACAAGCACAGAAAGAAAATGTGAATGAGCTCTTTTACAACGGAGGGCCTTGATACTTGTTTCCTCTACCTGGAATATTCTCTTACCCTTCAAGTTCCAGACTGGTATGGCTTTGAAAGGGTCTCTTCTGTCTCCCCTATCCAAAGCAGCGCTCTTCTGCCATGCCCTCACCACCTTCCTTATCTGTGTACTTTGTATCTTTTATTCTCCTAGCTTTCAATTATGTAACAGCTAATTTATTTGTTATTTGTCTCCTCCATTAGAATGTAAGTTCAACCAGGGTAGTGACCATGTCTATCTGGTTCACCACTGTATTCTTAGAACAAGGAACAAGACTGAAGAGTCACATTAAACCTTAGTATGACATATAACTTTATATGACTTTAAATATGACTTAGTAAGTATGTCATATTTAAAATGACAAGAAACCTTAAAAAAACACATCGAAGCAATGTGCAAATGAAGCAAAAAAAGAAAATAGTGCCCACTGGCTCCTATGACAGCACTGGCAGGTGGGCCTAAAAAACCTGAAATCATATAAAGAGAAAGAAATGAGTCTAATGAGAGATATAATATCCATTCTATCCTCCTTTTGTGACTGAGGTTTTGATGTTTTTTCCACTGTATTAGTACACTAAAGTTCTTTACTTTGGCAGAAGGGGTAGGCAGAAGGTTGGCAAAGCTAAGAGTCAGGATAGCCGATGCAAAATTTGCCTGTCAAACCGAACTAATCCTGAGTATGATTTCAGAATGTGACCATCCAGTTTCATCTGGTTTTTGACTCTTATTTATGCCACTAAAAGAGGGGAATTCACTGGGAGAATAAAAGTTTAAAACAATGTACTTACCTTTAAAATATTGTTTAGCAGATAAATGTAAAACATACTTTGGAGACATATAAACAGCTCAAATTATACCTTCTGAATCAGAAGAAGGCAATGTTGGGTATAAAACTACTTATGATTCAACACTACATTTTGAAATCTTACACATCAAAGAGAAAACAGAGTGCCTCAATTTGAAAGTAACAATAACAACACCAGAACAGGTCATCAATTTCTTTGTGAATTCAGAAGGTTGTATAGTTCAACTTCCTGCCAGGTATGGAAACAGCTATCCTCAAATGGGTATCTGAGTACTTCGCCTGAGAGAGAGAGCTTTAGATTGTGGGGTGGTCTAACCAATCTTCAGTGGTTCTAATTACCAAAGAAAAAGAATTTCATTATTACAGCCTCTTCCCTACTGAGAAGTTCCAGATATTCAACGGCTCTTTAATATATCAATAATTAAGTATTTACAGGCTCCTCTGTCCAGGGAATTCTCCCAGCAAGAATACTGGGCTGGGTAGCCATTCCCTTCTCCAGGGGTTCTCCCTGACCTGGGGATCAAACCTGGACCTCCTCCTGCATTACAGGCAGATTCTTTGCCGTCTGAGTCATTTACAGGCTATCCTACTTATTCATAGTTTTGAAACCAGGGCTATATAACACACCATAGGTCATTCCAGGCCATGTCAAGATCTTGGTTAGTTTATATCTTGTTTTCCTGCTTCATAACTTTAACTGCAGTTTGATCAAGCAAGATATGGTGTCAATTAACACCTAACTCAGCATCAGATTATATTTATGCAGGGCTCAAAAAATGGGGAAGGCACAGAGAATATCCTATTCACAGGATAACTAACAGTCTAATGCCATTCTTGAAATCAGATTTTTCTTTTTGTTTTACCTTTTTTTAAAAGTATGGTTTACAGACTTTGAAATTAAACCTAACATTTATTTTTTTTTCCATTTATTTTTATTAGTTGGAGGCTAATTACTTTACATCATTGCAGTGGTTTTTGTCATACATTGAAATGAATTAGCCATGGATTTACATGTATTCCCCATCCCGGTCCCCCCTCCCACCTCCCTCTCCACCTGATCCCTCTGGGTCTTCCCAGTGCACCAGGCCCCAGCACTTGTCTCATGCATCCAACCTGGGCTGGTGATCTGTTTCACCCTAGATAATATACATGTTTCGATGCTGTTCTCTTGAAACATCCCACCCTCGCCTTCTCCCAGGGTCCAAAAGTCTGTTCTATATATCTGTGTCTCTTTTTCTGTTTTGCATATAGGGTTATCGTTACCATCTTTCTAAATTCCATATATATGTGTTAGTATACTGTAATGGTCTTTATCTTTCTGGCTTACTTCGCTCTGTATAATGGGCTCCAGTTTCATCCATCTCATTAGAACTGATTCAAATGAATTCTTTTTAATGGCTGAGTAATATTCCATGGTGTATATGTACCACAGCTTCCTTATCCATTCGTCTGCTGATGGGCATCCAGGTTGCTTCCGTGTCCTGGCTATTATAAACAGTGCTGTGATGAACATTGGGGTGCACGTGTCTCTTTCAGATCTGGTTTCCTCGGTGTGTATGCCCAGAAGTGGGATTGCTGGGTCATATGGCAGTTCTATTTCCAGCTTTTTAAGAAATCTCCACACTGTTTTCCATAGTGGCTGTACTAATTTGCATTCCCACCAACAGTGTAAGAGGGTTCCCTTTTCTCCACACCCTCTCCAGCATTTATTGCTTATAGACTTTTGGATAGCAGCCATCCTGACTGGCGTGTAATGGTACCTCATTGTGGTTTTGATTTGCATTTCTCTGATAATGAGTGATGTTGAGCATCTTTTCATGTGTTTGTTAGCCATCTGTATGTCTTCCTTGGAGAAATGTCTGTTTAGTTCTTTGGCCCATTTTTTGATTGGGTCATTTATTTTTCTGGAGTTGAGCTGGAGGAGTTGCTTGTATATTTTTGAGATTAATCCTCTGTCTGTTGCTTCATTTGCTATTATTTTCTCCCAATCTGAGGGCTGTCTTTTCACCTTGCTTATAGTTTCCTTTGTTGTGCAAAAGCTTTTAAGTTTCATTAGGTCCCATTTGTTTATTTTTGCTTTTGTTTCTAAAATTCTGGGATGTGGGTCATAGAGGATCCTGCTGTGATTTATGTCGCAGAGTGTTTTGCCTATGTTCTCCTCTAGGAGTTTTATAGTTTCTGGTCTTACATTTAGATCTTTAATCCATTTTGAGTTTATTTTTGTGTATGGTGTTAGAAAGTGTTCTAGTTTCATTCTTTTACAGGTGGTTGACCAGTTTTCCCAGCACCACTTGTTAAAGAGGTTGTCTTTTTTCCATTGTATATCCTTGCCTCCTTTGTCGAAGATAAGGTGACCATAGGTTTGTGGATTTATCTCTGGGCTTTCTATTCTGTCCCATTGATCTAATATTTCTGTCTTTGTGCCAGTACCATACTGTCTTGATGACTGTGGCTTTGTAGTAGAGTCTGAAGTCATAAGCCTAACATTTAATATGGCCAACATGTCACTCAAAATCTTCAGTAGCAAGTCTATCTTTAAAGTTTATTCATACCATTTACAAATAAACTATGTAAGTTAGCAGTAAACACTGTTTAAAGGTACAAAAACATAAGTGAAAATCATAAAAGACTTGTGGCAAAATACAGTCATAGGATACATAAAAGATTCAGACATTTTTGGACTGCTTTGTACATGTTACTTCATTTAATTCCCCCAACAAGTTTCCCTGATAGCTCAGTTAGTAAAGAATCTGCCTGCAATGCAGGAGACCCCTGCTCAATACCTGGGTCA